CACGTTTGGGTTTTTTGTACAATTAATAACAATTCTGTACTGTTGTATGTAATAACATATGTTAATACGAGAGCACGCGACACACCTGTAAAATAAATAAATATTGTAATGAAAAGTCAGCGAATAGATAAAACCATTTAACTAACCGAAATAGTTCTTCTAGGCTTCTTCGTGGCTCTATAGAAGAGAGTCTATTGCATAGGTGGGAAACCTGCGGCCTCCGCGAGGTTTTTGTGCGGCCCTTTGCCACATAACACAAAATTGTAGAGTTCTTTTCAAACCACTATTGTACATCAACGTCATGATAGTTTCGCGACAAATCCTATCAAAGATAGTCATATTGTAATATGATGTCAGATGCTAGCCAAAAATACACGCATAAATTATTGTTCATTGTATTTTTTGTAATACTTTTATATTGTTTTATATGTATATTATATTTAATATTTTGTAGTATTATATTTTGCTTTTTCTATATAAAGTTGCTAGGTCAATCAGCCTATGCGGTGTCTCCTATTGCCGACCTCTGATGGTAAAAAGGTTCCCCACCTCTGGTCTATACCATCATCTAGTAAGAACTTGGTCTTTGCAACCCAAAGTTCCAAGTATCTGGTATCATCTTGATATCAAACTGCACAGATATCGTTTCCACTTGAAAATATATTTCTAAATAAAATATGTTTACAAGTGAAGATATCCGTTCCCCGGTATTGCTACAAAAAATTAAAAATTAATCATTAGCATTAAAAAAAATTAATAAGAAAAATATATCAATTATAGATAAACCAACCGTAATTAATCACAACTCCTAGGGCTTTTAAGTTCTAATAGCTGTTCGAAATATAAAAAAAATAAAAACATGAAGAACAGTTATCTTCGATTACATAATTATTATTCATAAATTAATTAATTATCTGTATTAATTTGATAGCAATCAAAACTTAACGAGTCGTGTAAGCCGTTGTGCTGACCTCTTAAACGACATGACTTTTTATAAATGGCAACCCAAACGGTTGTTCCATCTTTATGTGATGAATTTATTATTACAAATTACGCATAACTGAATTTTTTATTGATGCAGCAATGACAGGTAAATTTGAAACATCTAGACATATAGGTAAAGCTATTTTCACTTCGAAAAATATTTCAATCAATATTTCCAAGTATGTATCATGTCATTGCTGCTTGACATCAGTCTATTTGAAGCGGGCATCAAACTTAGAACCCAGGATTTAATTTCCATCGCTCTAACCACTATGCCACGAGGAAGCCCATTACAATAAACATGCTTTATTTATATAAGATTAGATTAAGGTGTAACTTACGCTTGCTTATTTTTTTGAATCAGATATATTTTTTTTGTTTCTAATTGTAAGCATTAAAATGAATATCTCATACATCCCTCGTATCGCTCACTGATTCATCATAAGAAGTCTTTTTATTTTATGCAACTAGAAACATTTACAAACATATGTTTTCTAAAATAAATCTAAAACAGTCTAAAAACGAGCAACTTTTTCAAATTGAAATCTTTATTCATAAATGACATATGTTATTTTCCATTCGTTACAAATTAATAAAAAAACAACAGATTTGAAGAGATAAATTTGACACTACATTTTTTCTAGTATGGATGTTGTCACTGAAGAAGACCTATATATATTGCTAGAGCACGTAAACTTATAGCCATATATAGGATTTTTTCTCTGAAATAGTAATAAACGAATGATATCTCATTGTACTTCAAAGAATCCTGTTTAACTACCAAGATTTTTATAGTATACCATTATGAAAGTCGTTTTCAAGTATTTTGAGGGAGTTATGCCTACAAAGTTTTAAAACTAAATAATGGACTTGAGCAATTTTTTTATTAATGATTAGTTTTATTTGAGTATTTTGTAAAAGCGTATACATGTGACTTTTTTCAAGTAAATGCTTCAAGATGACTTAATATGTTGCGTATTTCACCCAATAATTTTAATCCAAAAACAAATTGAAACTCCTTTTGAATACTATACCAATTTCAGTATCTCTGTGTCCCAGACTCTCGGCCCAAACTAGACATATATGTACTCTCGCAGACTAACAACATACACCTCCACAATCCTCTTAACACAGGTTGAACATTAACCGGAACTAACGCACACCGTCATATGAGGAAGATGAATCAGAGTGCTGGACTTTCTTCTGCACAGATATTTTGTTAATGACGATGACGTAAGGATACCACAAGTAGACGTGAGCAGACACAAATCCTAAGATTTTGTACTTGAACACAAAAGACTAGGGAAAAACGTTTATGCGATAACATCTTTTAAGGCAAATTAATAATTACCTGGAATGGCTATTTACTTGTAATGATTTTGAATATTTCTAAAACCACAAAAGATATTATGAGCGAAGCGAAAACAGAAGCTGAAGACAATTGCTAATTAAATTTTAATGTACATGCTATTTAAACCTATCAAGTAGATTTCTTGCATAATTTTTCTTCATACCATGAGTTGTTCTTCATAAAATTATTTCTCAGATACTTTTCTAAATAGTTGTATTGATAAAGCAAAATTCTTATGGAACAATAATTTTGATGTTGAATCGACATATCAAATTTGATCAGTAAGCAATAAACAATAAAGTAAAGTTTTATATGCATTAAAAACCAAAAAGCCAAAATAAATAGCAAGTGAATTGACAATCAAATTGTTCGCATAAGGGTCTAATCAAAGAAGAAACGTTTACACATAAAAAATAAATTTGTGAATTATAAATAACAAAATATATCTTGAACAAGCGGTACCTGCATAACGCATATAGAGTTTCTCTATTTAAGAGTTCAACGACTTGGAAAAACTGGGCCGACAATAACATGCTTTCCACGTTTGTGGAAATCGTTCCCGTTGACATTATTTGAATCTCAATTATTCAAAGTATCAATATTAGCCAATCAATGGATGAAGGCCAATTTGATAAGTGAATGAAATTTTAACCAATTTGACTATTTCTAATAGTACCTGACAGACATATTGTCAATGTGTGGTTTGATAACAAACGGTTAATGAATTATTCAAATGTTGTCACAGACATTACAAAAAACCGCTGTCGAAAATTTTTAGCTGATAGCTTTTATGTAGTATGATGTGATGTACATTTTCATGACGTAATAATGAAATACATAAAAATATTTCCAAGACTTATTATTTTTTATTTATTCCTATATTGGAATTACCTAAAATCAGCCAATTGAATATAACAGGAATACTTTATAAACCATAAATTTTATGATAAATTCTGTAGTTGAAGAAATTGTATAAGTATTAATAAGAAAAATTATTTAAATCAGTTAGACTCATGCATGGATGATATTTTCATTGGTATATCCCACAAAACTTATAATTGACTGATAAAGTAAACTAGTGGGGTGGGTGGCATCGTGCCTTAAGGCAAATTGCTGGAACTTCCCGTACCGTAACGAAACGTTCGAGGAATATTGAATGTTTTCAAATAGATTATTATAAATATTGTATTTTTGTCTAATATTTATAATAATTATATAAACTGAATTGCAGAGTTGAAATTATTTGTTTAAAGTATATTAGAACTATAGTCAGAATTAAAAATAAAATCTGAATTATTTTCGATATACAAAAAATTTAAAAAAAAAAAAAAAAAAAAAAAAAAAAAAAAAAAAAATGGTACAAATTTTTTTTTTCCAAAATCAATTATTTTGTTAAGACAAGCAGAAAGTTCTTTGAATCAATTGAATCGGACGCTTAGTTCTCTCAAAAACTGCCATTTTTTGTACATTTAGCTCTGTATCTCCGAAATGGCTGGGCCTGCCTTTGCGAAAAACTAATAACCCTTTCTCCCAATCATTACTAATGGAATGTTTTTTAGATCATTCAAATCGGATGCTCCGTTCTCTCCAAAACTCGATTTCTATTTTCTGCACTCTTTGCTCCTTATCTCCGTAACTGCTGGACCTGGCTTTGCCAAAAACTAATCAGCTCTTCTCCTTATTAATAGGAATCGAATGTTTTTTAAACCATTCAAATCGGTTGATCCGTACGCCCGAAAACGTGGACGAAAATTTGTATCCATACATACATACACACACACACACACACACACACACACACACACACACACACATCCATTTTTTCTGAGGTATGCCAAAACGTTCAGAAACCTTCAAAACGTCGAGAAATGTAAAAATTTTCAATTCCGATTTTCGGCCCATTACAATAACTTACCCTACGGGAAGTTAAAAAAGGAATTCCTATAGATAATTTAGTAGTTGAACGAATTTATAAAGATTTGTGCATGGATTGATTATTTCAGTTAGATAATTCATGCACAGGTGATATTTTTTATTAGCATATTCCTCAAAAATTATAATTTACGGACCAAGTTAAATAAATATATCTATTGGATACCTTTTCCAAAAAGGCACAAAATACACTTACTAGAACCCTGCTACGTAGAAGAAATTTAATTTTTTTTAATAATTTTCTTTGTAAAAACTTTTTTTACCATTGCTCAATTATATTCTACTAATTACCTATCATTCATTTATTATATTTTGGTTATTCTATTTTAATACGTTGTAAATTAAATGGTAAAATAAAAAAAAAGTGTAACCAACCTAAGAACGAGCATTCAACATGAAAATCTGCAATTTCCATTTGTACTTTATTTTAACAGTTTAATCGTAACATCAACAATAAGTCGAATATCGGCAACAATATATTTTAAATAGCTATATAAATTTTACGGAAATTGCATCTATTAAAAAATGTTGAATATTCTGTATATTTCCCAAATGTTTCAAGTTCAAACAATCCCTCTTAAACATTTGGAGAATATACATTATATCAAAATATTTTTCTAGATGCCAAGTCTGTAAATTTCAAAACATATTTATATACATACCATGGTATTTCAAAATTCTATAAGTTCATCTACTAATAAATTAGAGTATAATATATAAATATCGTTCATGTTTATACTGTAGGAGTTTGACCTGTCCAAGTTATTTTTGCATCCTGCCATCTGAAATAAAATGCTTCAAACATTATTTAAGAACAAACATAAATTAAATTACCTTTTTATAATAATATTACTTTGTATGTATTAATTTTTCAAGAGGTGTAGAAGCCATATCATCTTTGCAGGAAGGTGATCCATCATCATCACATTCTTCATTCTGGCCACGTGTATCCACAGTGAAGACCACGTGGTTACCACTTGTGGTGCAGTACTGCAATTCGAATCTAAAAAAGTGATATGATAAACAGATTATGAGCCAAAAAATAGCTATTTTACTTCATATATTCATGTCCAATTAACACTTTGACTGCGGAAGTGTTTGGAACCAGCGGTCAACGTGTTAAGAAAGCTATCAAACATTGATTAAATATAGCATTTTAGTAATATATTGTCAATCAATAATATTGCAATTTTATTTTATTTGTTGGCGTTGAAAAATAGTAATAAATAAATAGTAAAATAGTGGCGATCAAAAATAGTAATTCATTTACCTTGAATAAATTTTGTATATAATTCGTTATAGCATGATACAATATAGTAAAAAAACACGCGACAATGTAATCAAGTTGTTATTCGATAATGAAGAAATGGTTTCGGTTAATGTTTCTAATAAAGGTATACACCAAACATGCATTTGATTCAGATATGGCGATAAGATTCATTATTTGGGAATGAAATACTTTTACTTTCAGTAAAATGGATTAAAGTTATGTTAAAACCAAGCCAAAAATCAAGACAAGTTAAAAAAATATCTATATATTTATCTAAACGTTAAAGGCGCGTTTAGTGGCTGAGTTTTTTTTAGTTTAGTTGGTTAATGAATAAAAAAATTATTTTAATAATGTATGTCAAAACTAAATGTTTACTATGAGCCACTCCCTTTTGGCAATCTCAACAACATTGTACTGTCAAAATTAATGGATATCTTATGCTTACACACTTCAGGAAGACAGGCTTTGGTTAACCTTTAAAGAATTTGCATACAATGTAAATTATAGAAACAATCTAATTGTTATATAAGGTGGACAATATGCCACATTGTCATCTATAATTGTAACATTGAATTACTATAATTCAGTGCAAAATCATCACGTCCTTCTGAGGAAGGTTACAAATATGCATTACTTATGACAGCAATAAAGTTAAATTGCTTTCGAGAACTGGGAAATTTTGCTTCTCATAATAAATAATTGCATCAGTCTCCGGTATTGATTTGATGATAGGCATCAGCGGTTTATTAAGTGACGTTTGAATAAAATATTTATATTATGATAAACATATTTCAATTTGAAATATAAAATCAATCAAATGCCAAAAAACTATCAATGCCTTAAGAGATACACCAGTTCTTTGAAAATGCATAATAGATATATCGAACCAATAACGAGATAAAGTTATATGGGGAACCATTGAGTTTCAGGTTTTCTTTTGCAATTTTTTAGAGAAATTTTAAAATTTGATTAGGCTTTTCAGTTCATAGCTTCAAATTAACTTTTACTTGTAAAAAATCGAATAAAATCATTTTTAAAATTATCAATATCTGTTTCGATGGAATTCTACCAGGATTTCTGAAAAGAATGAGGTCATCGAAAAAATAATGAGGACGACAATAAGACAATAAATAATGTACCGTAATAAAAAAAGAGATAATGTTATCATATTTGGGTTTCTTGGATTAAACGCATGCAGCGATTATGCAAAAACAGACAGCTTTACACTTTTGAATGGCACAAGTAATTGGACTTTGAATAAAAGAGTTGGGTACACATTTTTTGTAATATAAATAAAATTATTTTAAATGTGCTTTTTCAGAATTACTAAATAAAAATTAAAATTTTCAGTACACACATACGATTTCTAAGCTGTGCTTAAATTAATGTTGCGTTGGCATAAGTTTAGGCAAATAAGTATGTTGTTGGGGGCTTCAACAAACTTTTATTTACTAAATCAATTATCTATTATATCAGAACAGTTGTTTAATTTTTATTTTCACTACTCATATAAAGCACGAACTCTACAGTACCACAGATTTAATACTAGCAGATAGTCAGAGAAGACCCTTTCAAAATAAATTACAAAAAAAACCTTTATTTTGCAATTATCGAATTACGTAAATTCTACAAACGTTAGTATGTTAGAGATCTATAAACGCAATTGATTAAAGAAATGAAGCATTTCTATACTTATCATAACCAAAGAGAAACTCTCAAAACCTGGTATTTGTTTTCATCTAACCTTTTTTCGGCATGATAATTTCTAAGCAATTCCATATTGGTGTTGAACATAACACCGTAATGCCCCTGACAACTCGTCACCCACACTGGCAGCCCGGGGGTCTTCAACCTCGAACCAGGTCGCCGAGACTCTTCGCCTGGTCCAAGAGCTGCATCGCCATCGTACACTAACAGACCTACCGCACTCCTGGACAACACTCCAAATTGCGGCATAGCCTTTAAGAGAAATATGATTTTATTTGAATGCGTAAATTATTATGACATAATTGTATTCTTCTTGTTTTACGAGTTTTCTTTTTCATCTTAATATAGTATTTATATTCAAAAAAATGAAAAATAGTCTTACTATAAATAGAAAATATTTTGCGAAAATCTTCAGTAACAAATTTAATTCGCACGCGCATATTCAAAACTTAGCATTTATTGGGAAGGGGTAGTTCGCAACCTGTTCGACTAGCTTAATTTTTTTTTAAATATAGTATTTTACAAATTTAAAATTCAGTTTTATACACGGGAGAAATTCTATAATTTGAATATATTCTTCTGATGTGAAAAATGATTTTATAAACGTAAAAAAGGCGGTGTTTATGCACGATTTATAGTCAAAGGTAATTACGTTTGAGCGAAAGTCTAAGTTCATATAGAAGTTTAAAAGGAGACCTCTCAGAAAGCATCACACCCATAACCAAAAACCACAAGGGATTTTGGCGAACGGTCATCGATAATGATCAAACTCGAAATGAAGTTCGAAAATCCTTCTCACGCTCAGGGTGCGACGCTACAACTCATCGTCGAGGTCGCATCAACTCCACTTTTGAGTGAAGAGATTGTGAAGACATACTACAGAAATGATCCTGTGAAGTATGATCTTGCCGAACCGACGTTTCGAACGAGCCAAGCTGATTCCTGTCAGGTTTGTGCGGCAATCACAGGTACAACGTGACGCTGGTATACGAACTGGAGACATCTACCGTCCTCTTTAACTGCTGCTAGTTATAGAAGAAGCGTTGTGCGTAATGCTCGTTTTTACTTTTATTATCACTTTTAACCCTTTCGACTCGGATGCCGCCGCTCCGACGACAAAATCCATAAATCTCGCAATTCGCGAGTGGAATGGGTAAAACTAAACACTGTATCATATATTTTATTAACAAGACTATATTATGAATTATGTATTAGAGTAAAATACCCCACTATATGTCAGTATTATTGCATCACAATTTTATTTATCACAAAGTTTATATGCGTTTATGTTATTGTTGTAAAAGTGTGTTTGAAAAATGAGTTCCTGAAGATAGAAATAAGTAAATGATAGGATATCTATATCATTCTTTCTAATTCAGCATTTATAATATTTTCTAAAATTTAATTCCAAACTTGATAAACCACCTTATCAAGTTAATACTGATAGTAAAATCATATATAACTAAATGTTTGAGTTTTATTTTTCTATGTAGCGCATGCCTTATCAGAATTATTCTGCCGTTCAGTCAGGTTGGCCGAGCGGTCTAAGGCGCCAGATTTAAGCTCTGGTTCCCGAGAGGGAGCGTGGGTTCGAACCCCACACCTGACAAAGCATTTTTTGTGTTTGATTACATAAAAATTTATTTCTTCGATATAAGCATCATTACCATTGGAGCACCAAATAAAAAAACATATATATCGGATTTTCTTTTTGTAAATTATAGTACAGATGTTTTAATTTTGGAACTAATTTAAATGATGAGTATATTAAATTTCGAGCAGTTTGAAATATGAAGAAGAGCATTGACAAATCTTTGTCAACGAATTTGATATTTTTATCAATTGATTTTTGATATTAGTCTTATAAGTCATTGAAGGTATTCCTGTTGAGAAAAGAAAGTTCTAACACGGAGCTGTTTTATACCCAAAGCGATCAATTTTATTTAACTTTGATCTCATTGTAAACATTTAATTGCTTTATTATTCTAGTACAACAAATAAAATAAAGTCAAATTGAGTAAGTTAAAAACGTATTTTATTTGATTGAACTAATAGCGTGTAACCATTTCTCGTCACATTTATTTTTTTGTACAAAATAATTTTATGTACATGTAAGGGAATTACAATAATTTAAATGCTATAAAACTAAAAAGCCAAACGACTATTAGCAGAATCTCAAAAAAAACATAGTTGACGAATGTCATTACAAATTTTGGAAGCAGTTAAGACAAGATAATATAATATTTAAAAGAGACCTCTCAGAAAGCGTCACACCCATGACCAAAACCCACGAGGGATTTTGGCGAACGGTCATCGATGACGATCAAACTCCAAATGAAGTTCGAACGTCTTTCTCACGCTCAGGGTGCGACGCTACGACTCATCGTCGAGGTCGCATCAACTCCACGTTTGAGTGAAGAGATTGTGAAGACATACTACAGAAATGATCCTGTGAAGTATGATCTTGCCGAACGGACGTTTAGCACGGAGTTATAACATATTCTGGCAGAACTATGCGGCGATCACAAGAATACCGTGATAAAATACGAAGCGGAGTCATCTGCCGTTTTATTTCGAACGCTAGCTATTTACAGACTCGTTGTAAGTGTATGTAATTTTTATGCGTGCGTAGTGGTTCGATATTTACGGCGAGATAGTAGGACGCATGTATATATACCATACAATCAAATTTGTATATTTATATACATACATATATTCTTGATAACATTTTTTAAACATAATTTGACATATTATATATCATCATTTATTGAATGAATTTCTTTTCCATTTTATTCACGTTTTTCTTCATGATTACTATATTTATTAATTTCAGAACCACTATTGTATATAAATGCATTGACACACGCTAAAATAATTTATCAAAATTCGAATAGCCGTTTTAGGAGCAGTTTAGTGACAACACACGTACAGTATATTAGATTTATGTAGATCTCCATTGTTTTTTTGGCGTTGAAAGATATTTGATATAATTAGCAACCATGGTATAATTTTTTTTTTACATTCCAACAATTAATATGTATCATGAATTAGTAAATCTAAGTAACAAATAGTTATTTCAAACCTTGAATATAATTTTTGAAATATCTTAAATCATTATTTTTTTAAATTTAAATTAAGTCAAAGTATGCATACAAAATTAGCTAAAACCCAAAAAAACAAAATTTTAACATATTTTTCAATAAGTAAATTTCGGTGTTAATTGCATATTGAGAAAAATTATGAATAGGAACAAAATATTGAACTAGTGGGGCGCATGGCATCGTGCTTTAAGGCAAATTGCTGGAACTTTCCGTACCATAACGAAATGTTCGCGGAATAATAAATGTTTTCAAACAGATTATTATAAATTCTGTAATATCGTTAAATATTTATAAGAATTATATAAACTGAATTGCAAGGTTGAAATTATTTGTTTAAAGTATATTAGAACTTCAGTCAGAATTAAAAATAAAATCTGAATTATTTTCGATATACAACAAATTTTTTTTGAAAAAAAAAATTGAAAAAATATTCTGAAACAATTTTGTTTTCAAAAATCAATTATTTTGTTAAAACAAGCAGAAAGTTCTTTGAATCATTCAAATCGGACGCTTAGTTTTCTCAAAAACTGCCATTTTTGCACATTTAGCTCTGTATCTTCGAAATGGCTGGGCCCGCTTTTGCTAAAAACTAATAACCACTTCTCCCAATCATTACTAAATGAATGTTTTTAGATGATTTAAATCGGATGCTCCGTTCTCTCAAAAACTCGATTTCTATTTTCTGCACTCTTTGCTCTTTAACTCTGTAACTGCTGGACCTGCCTTTGCTAAAAACTAATCAGCACATCTCCCTATCAATAGGAATCGAATGGTTTCTGAACCATTCAAATCGGTTGATCCGTGCGCCCGAAAACGTGAACGAAAAAATGCGGTCACACAAAACACACACACACACACACACACGTACACACGCATCCATTTTTTCTGTGGTATGCCAAAATGTTCAGAAACCTTCAAAACGTCGAGAAATGCAAAAAATTTCAATTTCGATTTTTCGACGATTACAATAACTAACCCTACTGGAAGTTCATAAAGCGAACATATTCACTACACTTTGAATAAATTTAAAAGAAAAAGTTTCATGAGGCAGTAATCAAAATATATCTAAATTTTAATACTTTTAAATCTATTACTAAATAACTCACATAATGGTCTTCATCACCGGCGTAGACAACACCATTGTGCAAAAATGGAGTCGCTCTTCCAGACACCAGCAAAGTCACTACACAAAGTGATCCTTCCTCATCAGGTCCTACCAGATGCACGTCAACAGGCTGGTCAAGATCACGCAATACTCTAATATTTAAAGAAAAAAATAATTTATATTGAAAGTTGAAGAAGTTGTATTGATATCTATATCTCGGAATAACAACAGCAAATAACTTAACAAATGTAGTCGATTTTAGATTAATGTTTAAAATAAAATAGGTTGTTATATTTTGCTCCCAAGATTATGAGATAGCAATATTAATAGTATATTACATAATATATTAATTTCCACATCGTTAATTAACTTACACAGGCGGTGATCTGGTAAGAACTGCTCCATATAATAATAACAGTGCACCGGCTCCCGGTTGCTCTTGAAACTATGCAGAAAAAACAGTATATTGTATTCAAAATCATATATATATATATATATATATATATATATATATATATATATTAGGGTGGTCCTTAATATGGACATTTTCAAATTTCCTTGCTACCAAGGGCTCAAATGGTTCCAAATTGATAAAAAAACAGTTCTCTAAAAGTTTTAGCTCTTAATATTAACTTTTAGATAGTGCGCAATTCAATCAAACTTCGTATGGAAATAGCATGGAAATAATTTTGAAAATTAAAAAAAAAAACAAAAAGTTTTAGGTATAACTTACCGACAAATTTTGAATAAAACTCATTCGTTTGTTCGCTAAATTATATCTAAAAACATTTTTAAAAATTTTGAAATTTTTTTCATGCTATTTCCATACAAAACTTTGATTGAATTGCGCTCTATCTAAAAGACTCTAAAGAGAATTGTTTTTTTATCAATATGGAACCATATGAGCCCTTGGGAGCAAGGAAATTCGAAAATGTCTATATTAAGGACCACCCTAATATATATATATATATATTAACAAAGTCTAATAATCGGGCATAACATCAATAAAAAACATGAATTTCTTTCAAAAATTTATTTTAAATCCATACGTTTCGGCTATAATCCTAGCCTTCATTCAGTGGAAACTAAAAATAAAATTAAAAACTAAAACAATTGAATTGGAGTGAAAAGAAAAAATAAAATAGTAATTAGTACTTACAATTAGTTGATCTTAGTGTTAATTTGGAAAACTTTAGTAAAAATATATATATATATATATATATATATATATATATATATATATATATATATATATATATATATATATATATATATATATATGAAATAAATATAAATTTATAAGAAGTTATGTTTTACCTACCATATGAAGATATAGCTTTATGAAGATCTGCAAGTCTTCCAAATGATTGAACTCAAATATTTTTAACTGCAAAAAATAATTAATCAATAATATATTTCCTTGATTAGTTTCAAGTAAATTATTCGAAACATTACTATTTTTTACCAGAATTATTTGCTACTTTACTAGTAATTAATTTATGCCTAAGGAAAATAAATCTATTTTTTTTCTGTTTACCTATTTTGATTTGGTAAATGAAAATATAATACACACGGTATTAAGGTAACCTGTTGTAGATTTTGTAAGCAATTAATTTCCTTTTCAAATGACTTCGATGACCAACAGTTAAAGAAACGTAATTAACATTGTTAACTTAACAAATTAAAATAGTTAGGTATTAGAATCAATTTTAATTGAAATGCGATGTTAAAAATAATTAAATTATGAGTATATTTACTTTTTCTGTAATGCCATCATGAAAATATAGATGTGACTGTTCGACAAATATTGTTTCGTCAGGTAATGCAACGCAAGCCGATCGTTTCTCGCCGACTGTCCATAATATAGAAGCAATGCAGGTGCATAAAGCCTCCGTTTGTGCAGCCTGTGATGGCTTCAGAAGACTGAAAAATTGACATCGTTAAATAATACTCCATTAACTTTGGCCTCTAGAATTTTACTCAGTTTTATATACTCACATTTCGGGAGGGATGCTTTTGCCTGTAGGGCGTTTATCAAAAAGAAAATGTTTGATCAGGTATGCCTGAAGCACGGATAATAGTCCACGACAAGCACTTCTTGGAGCACGAAGACAATATGCAAATTCCTTTAGTCCAAAGAGATGATTATTTTAGAATGAAAAAGTGTTATTTTAGCTTTATAAAGTTAATATATTACTTGTCCAGGTGTTGAGAATACGAAGCCCGTACGTAACCATTCTCCCTTCAGAGGTGAAGTAGCGGATCCAAATATTACTGTGCGCAACTCCTATAATAAAATTAGAAGTAATTGTAATAATATAAGAAATATTTTTATTGCCTATCATTTAACATTTAATCAATGATAAATTATCTTACTTATTACTAAAGTAAACTGGTAAACAAAAAACACTCACCAAAAGTAAAACATTATATTCAAAATGTTTCAAAAAAATTACATACCAAAATGACCCTATGACTAAAATCTGCAAGGGTTGAAAAGACTTACATAAATAATATTTCGTTTCAAATTATTATTTTACTTTATCTACAAATTGGCAAATGCGAAAGATAATCTTGCAGCAAGAACTAATGAATTACAAATACTACAGTTTTTTAATATTCTAATCTAACTGCATGTAAATAAACTCATCATCAAATTCAAGGCTTGATGTTTATAATAAAGTATTATTTAATGAATTGTCAAAAAATTAACAATAATATCGTGGAATTGAGTTCAGTTTTTGACTTCAGAGATATTATCATTCAACTAGACCTTAAAACTTCTGTTATGAAATGCATTAGCGTGTTTACCTTATAACAAAGTTTACCTTAATTTTGAAAATGAATTTGCTATAATGTTGCTTTTTATGTTTTATGGGAAAGCAGCAAATGAAGATAATATGTATATACGAACAACAATTATCAACAAATGGTGATCAAAACTATGGAAAGTAGACAAGGTAATATTATCATATTTAATAGGAGACCTCTCAGAAAGCATCACACCCATGACCAAAATCCAGGAAAGATTTCGGCGAACGGTCATCGATGATGATCAAACTCCAACTGAAGTTCGAACGTCTTTCTCACGCTCAGGGTACGACGCTAAGACTCATCGTCGGGGTCGCATCAACTCCACGTTTGAGTGAAGAGATTGTGAAGACATACTACAGAAATGATCCTGTGAAGTATGATCTTGCCGAACCGACGTTTTGACCGAGCTAAACCGATTCCTGTCAGGTTTGTGCGGCAATCACAGGTATAACCTGACGCAGGTACACGAAGAGGAGACATCTACCGTGTTCTTTACAATTCTTGCTCTTTATAGAAAGAATCTTGAGCGTATATGCGCGTTTCAGCCATAGTTTGTAAATGGCGTTTTGAAAATTGCAACCGCTTCTAATTATAAATAGAAAATAATTGGCCTACGTATACATTTAATATTTTATTGATTCTGATAATTGTTAGGTTCAATAAATCATTGAAAAAAGATATCAGGTTAAAATTTTGCGGATTTGTTATTTTTCTGAAATGGTTTGAATATATGCGCACAGGTAAATGCAAACGTTTTCTTTACGTCAAAAATCTATATCAGTATAAGGCCAATTAAAATTTACGAAAATTAAAATCAGTTAATTTTATATATGTGTGTATCGAGTTATCTATATATACATATATATATATATATATATATATATATATATATAGGGTGTCCCGGACTTGGACAATCCAAAACAGCTGTTGGGACGCCCTGTATATATGTATACATATTTGTGTTTTTGCGTGTGTATAATTAACAGCATAATCAATTAATAAATCCATCAATTATATCCCAGAAAAGTCAATGTTTATTATATGTAAAAAATGAAGAATAATTATAGATTCATGCGTCTATTGATACTTCTTGAATTTAAAAAGGCAACATAAAATAAAGCAAAATCTAAAGTACGACTGGGATTACCAGTATGATCACGCATACAAAAAACTTTATAATTATATTATATCTTGTTCGATTGATATACTAAACAAAAATTTAAGACAATGTGAATAAAGTGATGTAGTTTAACGAAATACATAATGAATAATTATTACAATAATGTACTACAGTATTTATTTATTTGGTAATATTTATTATTTACCACAGCTTCTGTTTGGGTTATGGGACGACCACCAGTAACGCGAGGTTTCGAGGACATTCCGCCTCGGCCACGTGGGTAAAGAATTCTTTCTGAAAGAATAAAAAGTTATTATGTTTATTAAATTAATTATTGATTCTATAAAACATTGAAATTTATGCAAAAAATAACACTAACAACACGTAATTAATTGAATACAAAAAATATTATTATTAATTATTTGTAAAAGTATTGCAATATTTCCAAAATGGTTTTTGATAAGTAAAAAGATTTAAGAACAAATTCTAAACTTTCGCACTTACTGCTTGCTCGATTTCGACTGACCGTATAAATTTGAAATTGAACTTTCAGCTACTTTTCTAGCTAAATACGAATACACTTTATATTGCATTGGCTATTAACACGTCAAAAGCTTGCATTGATGTTATACGATTTTCCTATAACTGACTCGTGAACTGATTTCAATAAAATATACTCATACGATTGTCTAACTGCACAAAACAAGTAATATAATGCATCGTATTTTACAATATTAAAAATTTAAATTTTTAATGTTATCTAAAACGTTTAAAACATAAGCACTATTCAAAGTATGTACGGAATAAATAAAAAAATCTAATGAAAAATGATAATTAACTATAATAAAAAATACGCTTTGAAAAAAGTTAGCACTTATTTTTATTTAATTTAAATAAATTTATTCAAATTTAGTTCAAGATTGATGACTAATAAAATCTGCTTGTTAGGAGATCTTGCATACAAATTCATTAATTATTTGTAAATGTATTTTTAATAATAAATCTTATAATTATAGTTGTCTTGTAACTATTTAGAAATAAGTTTTATAATTATTGCTGGCAATACAAGTGTAATATATTTTTGTTCAATTTATGATTTTTGTTACATTGTATATGAGTACTAATTATAATAGGGGATTTCAATAATGTATAGCAATTAAATCAATCATATGTTATATTTTTATCGATATACTTCCTGGAATTTGATGTTATAAAGTCTTGTAAATTAATGTGTGAATAACATTTAAAAAATGACAATATGTTGCTAATTAACATTATTACACCATTTCATGTACGATAACGAGTTTATATAAGCTTACGGTTTTAAAAAGTTTTGAAAAACATGTATTTCATTATTCGTAACATATTAAGAATCTTTTGTAGCCATATATGCATAAAATGTTCGTGTTCGTAAGGCATAAACGAATAACATCGTTTCAACGCGTTTGATTACAAATATGAATTGTCTATATAACACATAAGTAAAACATTCAGCCGATCAATCAATGATGACAATGTGATTGCTCTAATTCGTTATAATGCTGTTGGATTGTGCCATAGAATAATTTGGTATATGTCAGAGAAAATTGTTAATAATAATATTTCCAGTAAATTCAAAACACGAAAATATTTCTACAATTGGGATGGATGTCAATTTTCTTGGCGATCACTGAAATCGTTGTCGATTCAAATTATGTAAGCAATAAATAAAAAGCAAGTATACTTGATCCAACTAATAAAGCAAGTATACTTGATCCAACTGTGCTTAAATTTTAACTACATCCTGCTTATCTATCTTTTGAATATTATGATAGTTAAAGAACGCAAAGGCATTGCATTGGAAAGTTATGCCAATAAAGAAAGAAGAGGAAAATTAAGATAATAACATAGAAGCAAGTCAAGAGACCTCTCAGAAAGCATCACACCCATGACCAAAACCCACGAGGGGTTTTGGCGAACGGTCATCGATGATGATCAAACTCCAGATGAAGTTCGAAAATCCTTCTCACGCTCAGAGTGCGACGCTACGACTCATCGTCGAGGTCGCAGGAACTCATTCTTCTAACACACTTTTACAACTATAACATGAACTAGCATATATAAGTTCAAATTCAATACAATTTATTACTTACTATTAGACCCTAGATCAGTTTACTACAGGAGGTATTTTACACTAATAAATTGTTCATAACGTGGTCTTGTTTTTCAAATATATCATACAGTGATTTGAATTTAAAGTAACAATAAAAGAAAAAAAGCGCATTAAGCACAACTGAGCTGCAGTTGAAGAGGACGGTAGATGTCTCCTCCCGTCTGAGTGAAGAGATTGTGAAGACATACTACAGAAATGATCCTGTGAAGTATGATCTTGCCGAACGGACGTTTCGACCGAGCCAAGCCGATTCCTGTCAGGTTTGTGCGACAATCACAGGTATAACCTGACGCAGGTATACGAAGAGGAGACATCTACCGTCCTCTTCAACTGCAGCTCAGTTGTGCTTAATGCGCTTTTTTTCTTTTATTGTTACTTTAAATTCAAATCACTGTATGATATATTTGAAAAACAAGACCACGTTATGAACAATTTATTAGTGTAAAATACCTCCTGTAGTAAACTGATCTAGGGTCTAATAGTAAGTAATAAATTGTATTGAATTTGAACTTATATATGCTAGTTCATGTTATAGTTGTAAAAGTGTGTTAGAAGAATGAGTTCCTGCAATAAGTAAATCATAGAATATCTATATTTTTTTTCTAATTTAGCATTTATCATATTTTCTGAAATATTCTTCAAAACTGATAATCGACATCATCTACTGGATGCAGATAGTATAATCATATGAAACTAATATTTATTATATAAAACGATTTGTGGTAGTTTGAGTTTTTTCTATGGAGCCAATGCCTTGTCAGAATCTTTCTATCGTTCAGTCAGGTTGGCCGAGCGGTCTAAGGCGCCAGATTTAAGCTCTGGTTCCCGAGAGGGAGCGTGGGTTCGAACCCCACACCTGACAAAGCATTTTTTGTGTTTGATTACATAAAGATTTAATATTAGCATTACTTATAATACCATTAGGACAGCAAGCACGAACACTTATTACATCATACTTATTTCTTATAAATTATAGATGAATGTTTTAATTTTAGAACTAATTTAAATGATGCGAATTTTAAATTTCGCACGATTTTGATATATGCAGAAAAAAAAGAACGTTGACAAAATATCTTTGATTTTAGATATTATCTCCATAAATCAACGAAGATGCTTCTGTTGAAAAAAAACTTAAAGCGAAGTTAATTTATACGCAATGAGATCAATGTTATCTAACTTTGATCTCATTATCGGCGAACTTTTATGGACCGGTTCTGACAAGAAATAGACCAATGTGATGGCAAGGCTTAGTTACGTCGCGCTTGTCATTCAAAATTGGTACTAAATTCAGTCAAAATGCAATGTGTGTGCTATGAGATCAGGCGTTTCACACATAAAATATTACTTCAGTCATATGTTATCATGCCACATCACAAAGATGCAGATGTGGTAATATTGTTTTTTTACATTAGTGTGGTTTCATAATTATACAGTTAAACATAATGAATTATAACAAATATATGATGTAAATGAAAATTAATAAATGTTAATTAAAAACAATATCGATACAGTATACAGTAGTAACAGGATTCTAAAAAGTCTATATAGAAAATGTTTCTAAAGAAGGAAGAACTGTTCAAGCATCGATAATTCAAAAAAGAAATATTAGAAAGCAGTAAGATAATATACAATTGTTTGAATGGAGACCTCTCAGAAAGCGTCACACCCATGACCAAAATCCACGAGGGATTTTGGCGAACGGTCATCGATGATGATCAAACTCCAGATGAAGTTCGAAAATCCTTCTCACGCTCAGGGTACGATGCTACGACTCATCGTCGAGGTCGCATCAACTCCACGTTTGAGTGAAGAGATTGTGAAGACATACTACAGAAATGATCCTGTGAAGTATGATCTTGCCGAACCGACGTTTCGACCGAGCCAAGGCGATTCCTGTCAGGTTTGTGCGGCAATCACAGATATAACGTGATCCAGGTATACGTATTGGAGACATCTACGGTTTCATTTTGTATATATAAAAGGAGTATACGTGGTAGAGTTGATAAAAGGCGTTTTAAAAATTATGATAGTCTTTAATTATGAGAATCAACAAATTATTGAACATATATTATTATTATATAATTTATTCTATAAGTAATTTTACTACAAGAAGAAGATTATTGCAGACATCTTGTATGCGTTCGTATACTCTCGATAGTGTTCAAATTAAAAAATAAAGAAAATATAAATTGTTTATTTATATATTATTTTCATCGGGGAAAGCTAATCGATTTTTTTTACATTCTGAGCTAGAAATTAAACTTATCGTAATAGAAATGGTGTGATCAGAAGGCTCTAAAAAAACGGCAAAAGCATTTCATAAACTGAATATTTCCGTATTGATATAATAAAACCTTGAATGTAATTTTTAACCATGTTGAAAATTAAATTAAGTTTAGTAACGTGTTAATATTTTTAAATACTATGCTCTTCATACCTAGTGCAATTAAAATTTTAAAATAAATCCTAATTAAATTTAACACGCAAGAAAACACATGAACATTTAAATTGCGTACCTTTTCGTACCCTTGTAATAGGTGGAGCTATATCTTTTGGCTTGGTATCATTGTTTACAAGGTTTGGGGTATTATTTTTGGTAAATGATAAGCTTGATATAGGCTGTCCTCTTATCTCACATATCATTTTGGCTGGTTCTTCACTCGTATCTTCATCCATAGTTTCTGTAAATAGAGTATATCATAACTAAATAGCCAAAAAAGTCAAAATTCATTTGAAGACTTTAGCATAACTTCTTTTTTTTTAAAAAAAAAACAAATACGGTATGTTTTTCACTTCGATCATATTCTATATGAAAAATCAAATAAATAATAATACAAAATTTTCTCTTGCAATCAGTTTTATCTTCTACCAGTTGTTAACAATTTCAAGTAATTTCGTATTTCCTACATTACATAATCTCAGTAATAGTTATTTGCCCATAAAATTTCCAAATATAATAATTATTTAATCATTCGTTTCATAATTAAATAAAATTATACTCACTAGGCTTTATTATAATATTTCTACAACATAGCTGAATTCGATAAACTTTCATGTAAAAAAGTATATCTTTTGCATATAATATATAATGACAAAAAACGGAAAAATTAGTTAAAAATGCAATATTAAATTTGTAATAAATTTCGTCATATAACACATGTTCACTAGTACTAATTGGTCCATAAATATTAACTATAATTATTAAATATATTAATTTGTGTGATAAAAAAATAAAAACGTACTTACTAATAAGCTTATTATAATACTACAAGTACAAAATTGTACATAAGTTAGATAAAACTTTATTTTAAAAAATATAAAGATTGTTTCTTATGACATAATGTATATATGTAAAAACATAAAATGTGAAAAAAGAAAAGTTCATGAAATCGCCCACGACGTTGTGCTTTGCAGCTTTTACTTATATCAATGCACATAATAATGATTGTACAATAATTATTTATTTTTAAAACAATATGTGAAAAAAAAATATCTATAAATTTCTACACTAAATTTCAGTTTATTTTTAGACTTATTTGTACTTACTTTTACAAAATTAGAGTTTAAGCATATGCCACTAACATTAACTTTATTCAAAGGTTTGTATTAAAATAAAACAGATATGAATGAAGCTACGAAAAATAAGTGCCCTTCGTCGGACTTTGCTTCAGACTGAAATATGAGTTCTTTTAAAGGTAAAATATGCTCTATTCATAAAGTGCTTGTAATAATAGCGCGGAATATAATGGTTTTTGATTACTTACAAGTGGTGGTATGGTCGATACCTCACAACGGGCTAAAAGTTTTGTTGCTCAAACAATTCACGCTTAAATTCGTTCGCAGATAATTGCTTTATAATTGGAAAACTTTTTAATTGAGCACCTTGAGGTGTATTTCACAAAATCAATTGCGATGTGGAAAATCTATGAATGAATTTCTAATTGATCGGAAAATAATTTTATTTATTGCTCATGTGAGAATAATAACTGGTATCAAAAATATAAATTGGTATATGGTTGGTATAGTTCCTTAGTACCTTGTGGATGTATGCATATAATAATTCGGACATGATATGGATGATATATGTACAAAGGACAAGGCAAAACTCCCTGTTTATTTATTTTGCTGCAAACTACAAGCAGAGTACATTTTGATAATACCAATAAAGTGGACTTTGATGTTCCTCTCTTCATGGGGGATTCCAAATGTAAAATTAACGCCACAAATAGTCCACAAATTGTTCATGTGCATTGTCTATTTTGGTTTTATTAAATACATTTTTTAATTGACTCAATTCATGTATGTAAACGAACATGTCATATAGTTTTACAACACGTGCAAACCAATCAATCGATTGTAATGAAGCCTAACATTGCACTAAATTTAGATTCTGCAGTTTGACGCTTTGATTGACTGCGTCCATTACTCCTCTATCTACTACTACTATACATCATGTTTTAAAAGTTTATAAATAAATGAATTTAAGAATGCGCATTTAAAGTAAGTTTATAATTTATATCTAAACGAAAAGGTTGAAAGCTACAATAAATGTAAAAAATGCAGTTTACAAATTTTAATAATCTATTACCATTCAAAGCTTTCCGAAGGAAATATTTATGTCTATACCAGAAAACGTGATTGGTTCCCGAGGGTAAGAAAAAGGTATGAACATGTTTAAAAATTTTTACGTTTCAAAGGTTTCTGAACATTTATCCATATCTTAAAAAAATGGATTTATATGTGAGTGTGTGTGCGGATATGCATTTTTGTCAACAGTTCCGAGAGCGCGGATCAACCGATTTGAATGCAAATACATTTGATTGCTATTGATGGGGAAACGAGCTTAAAAAATAGATGAATGAATTCTTATTACCAATCCAAACTTTTTAGGACATCTAAAAATTTCAGTTTGTTCATTATTGCTTGCAAGAATATTCTTAAATTTTTGATTATTTCTAACGCATGTGTAATATTAATATTTGGGTTTTGAAATAATTTATTTATTTTAGGGGTTTTATGCGATTTCATATCCGAATCTCGGTGTTGGCGCCCCCTAAAGCGTGCGCCCGCGTTTTTCGCATGCATTGCATTTAAGGTATGACTGACCCTGTATGTGTGCATGTGTGTGCGGATACCAATTTATATCGATGGTTTCGAAAGCGCGTATCAACCGATTTGAATTCATCAAAAAAACATTCGATTGCTATTGATGGGGACACTTGCTGAATAGTTTTTGATGCAAGCAGGTTCTGACCATGGAAGATATACGGTGCAAAGGTGCAAAAAATAGCCATTCAGTCTGTATGAGAACCAAGGGTCAAATTTAAATTATTAAAAAAACATTTCAATTCCATAGATGGAGTGAAGAACTGGTTCAATTTTTAGGAATGCGGTCTCGAAAATTCAGAAAAAAAGTAAATGAAATGCTGCAAGAAATGTAAGAAATACATTTTACAAATTATAATAAGCCAATATCATTCTGAGCTTCTCGAAGGAAAAAATTAAGTCTTTACCAGAAAACCCGATTAGTTTACTTCCCGTAGGGTAATTTATAGTAATCTCAAATAATCGAAAATAAAGTTTTTTGAAAAATTACGTTTCAAAGGTTTCTGAACATTTTGGTATACCTTAGAAAAAATGGATGTATGTGTGTGTGTGCGGATACAAATTTTCGTCAACGATTCCGAGAGCACGGATCAACCGATTTGAATGATTCAAAAAACATTCGATTGCTATTGATGGTGATACGTGCTGATTAGTTTTTGGCACAAGCAGATTCAGACCATGTGCAGTCGTTTTGAAGCTACTGGGCAAAAAGTGACCATTCAGTTTATGAGAGAATCGAGGATCAAATTTAAATGATTCAATAAATATTTCAATTATATTGATGGAAAACTGGTTAAAACTTTAGGGAGGCAGGTCAGCGGTTTGAAAAAAAGTAAACAAAACGCCATTTGGCAGTTAATCATGTTTCCAAACTATAATGTTTACGCCAAATATTCGATAGATGGAAATATAATCTCTTTCATAGTTGCACGCTTCATAACCTAAAAACTTTTACATTTGCATGCTTTGCAGTAAATATAAAATAATGTTATTTACAAGTTATGTTTGTTAGTAAATAAATAAGAAAATGAAGTTTGCATATAAGGTGAATAGTAATAATAGATTTTCGATTATTTCTCATAGTTAATTATCAAGATGTGTGATTTATACTAATTTTATATCTATCAACTATCACAAAGTGATGTATCTATTAATAATTATTTATTACAGTTTAGTAATTTACTGGGAACAGTTTATAGACAAGGAGATTTAAAATTCACTCCAGATGGATATTCTGTAATTAGTCCTGTGGGTAACAGAATTACTATTTTTGATTTGAAAAAGTAAGTTATATTATCTCTGTTCTTATTGATAAATAGTTAATGTATATATATATATACATATATGCATGTATATATATATATATATATATATATAATATAAATAATATAAATTAATATTCTAGTAACAAGTCATCAACACTTGCAATTGAAAGCCGATTTAATTATGTCTCATTGGATTTATCCCCTAACGGCAATGCCCTAGTTGCAGTTAATGAAGGTAATGTGTAATTTATTACGAATAGAGAATAAGTTAATAAATTTTTGGTTTTAATATAGATGGTGAGGCTTATTTTATTAGTTTAATATCAAGGACTGTCGTGCACAAGTATCATTTCAAAAGACCAGTACCAGCGATTAAATTTAGCCCTGATGGCAAACATTTTGCAGCTTGTAAAGAAAACAATGGTATGTAAGCAGCAGTGTTGTAAATCAATTCAACAAAGTTAAATATAATTTTACTTATTTTTATGTTTTAGTGTTTATATTCAAAGCTCCAGGGCCATACAGTGGAGAAGTCAATGCATTTGCAATGGAAAGAGTTTTTCATGGTTCATTTGATGCAACGACATGCATTGAATGGGCTCAAAACTCTGAAATATTGGCTGTCGGCTCAAAAGACATGTCTACTAGAATATATAGTTTGAAAAAATACAAAAACTTTAGGCCATTTTCATTGGGTTCTCACACCGACATCATTGTTGCATGCTTTTTTGAAGAGAACAGCCTAGATCTTATCACCATATCACGCAATGGACAAGTAATATATATTTGAATTTAACATATACTGAATTGTTTAAATCCTTACAATTATGAATTTGAAATATTTATCTTTAACAGGTGTGTATGTGGGATTGCAATATCAAACTTACGTCTTTAGTTCCTTTTGAGGAAGATGCATCAATAAAAAAAGCTAGAGTTGATGAAGAAGATGTAGAAGATGATGGTCCCGAAGAATCAATTGAGAAATCTCAATCTAAAGAATCAAATAACATGAATAATCAAGAGAAAATTACTGAATTCGTAGAAGATGAGACTGTTCAAGAAAGGGATGATCAAGGAAAGGTAGAAATTTTGTTTACACATATTAATTGAAGATATTATGATAAAAATATGAAATTACAAAATATTTTTCTATTATATAAGCATATGTATTAAATATCAAGCATTTGTTTTAGATTATATTGAAAACAGATGATCAGAAGCATAGTTTCTTTTATCGAAGACATTCCAGACATTATTTAGCTGATGAAGTAAGAAAGGAGGATAAAAATGCTGTATTAACAGCTGCAACATACCATAAAAAGACAAAGATTTTAGTTACAGGTAATAATATAAATAAACTAGTGGTTAGCTGGAACTTTGAAAAAATTAGGTTTTTGAGAAATTTAAAATTTTTGAAAAAAAATTACTTTTTCTCAAAGCCAATCGCACTGCTTTAGCTGCATAGAAACGCAGTATCGAAGCGCGTAAGCGTCGCGTCGCCGTCTAACGGACAAACGATGTTACGAAACCCATAGAAATGTAAACAAAATTGATACACATTATTAAAATCTCCATAAAATATCTGATAATTGGATGTGCATATGTCTAATGATCATTTTTGACCTCAAAATGGCATTTTCTTTTACTTTTTATATCAGATCTCCGAAATCGCTAGACCTGCCTTCCCAAAAATATAATCAGTTTTTCATCTTGCCAAAAAATGTTTTTCGAGTTATTAAAATCGGACGCTTTTGGCACTTTTTGCCCTGTACCGAATGTTCCCGAAATTGTCGACGAAAATTTGTATCCGCACACACACACATACATCAATTTTTTCTAAGGTATGCCAAAATGTTCAGAAACGTCTGAAACGTAAAGATATATGAAAATTTTCATTGCCGATTTTTTTGCGATTACTATAAAATGCCCTACTGGAAGTTAATAAATTATTATTTAGATTTACTGAAATTAATATTAAATTTAAAAAAATGTAATACATTACAGGTTTCTCCAATGGGTCATTTTTCTTACATGAGATGCCTGAAGTCAACATGATCCACTCGCTTAGCATATCACAACAAAATATTACAGCATTGAGCATAAATAATACGGGAGATTGGATAGCACTCGGATGCTCTGGTGTTGGTCAATTACTAGTCTGGGAATGGCAATGTAAGTGCTATTGTGATGAAATCAAAATATACCTTGCATATTTTCAAAAATTGAAATTAATTCATATTTTTAACTCTTAGGTGAACAATATGTAATGAAACAACAAGGACACTCTTCAAATATGACTTGTTTGAGTTATTCTCCAGATTCTGAATTTATAGTCACTGGCGGACTAGATGGAAAATTAAAGCTTTGGAATACATCAACTGGATTTTGTGTTGTTACTTTCAGTGAACACACAAGTGCAATAACACAAGTTCAATTCAGCAAGAAATGTTTCATCAGCTCATCATTGGATGGTACTGTACGAGCATTTGATATAACGAGGTAAATTTAAGATTTGAATGGAATTTTAATTTTATTATTAATGTACAGATAACGCCCTTAAAACACCATAGTTACGTTCCAAAAATGTAGTGTGTTATGCGAATACGTGTTATACGGGATAAAGAACTAGTACAAAAAGGGGTTACGTTCCAAGAATTCAAAAAAATATGCAACATATCATGATTTTATAATAAATATTGTTATATTTATCAACTTTTTTAAGAAGTAATATACAACACATAAATTATAAATTTTAACTTCCCGTAGTGTAAGTTATAGTAATCGCAAAAAAATCGAAAATGAAAATTTTTATATAAATTTACTTTTCAAAGGTTTTTGAATATTTTAGCATACTTTAGAAAAAATGGATGTATGTGTGTATCTTCGGAACGGCTACACTTGCCTTCGCCAAAAACTAATCAGCACGTCTCCTTATCCTTATCAATACGAATCGAATGTTTTTTGAATTATTCAAATCGGTTGATCGGTGTTCCCGAAATCGTCGACGAAAATTTGTACCCGCACACACACACACATACATACATCCATTTTTTCTAAGGTATGCCAAAATGTTCAACCTTTTTAAACGTAAAGATATATAAAAAATTAAATTTTCGATTTTTTTGCGATTAATTTAACTTACCGTACGCGAAGTTAAAAAAGAACAAGTACGCTATCAAATGGAGAAGAACCAGGGCCGGTCCTACTTTGAATGCAATGCATGCGAAAAATGCTGGCGCACGCATTAGGGGGCGCCAAAACGAGATTCGGAAATAAAATTTACTATGTATTATTTATATTAGGTTGTCAAATATCTCCCTTCCGCTTTTTTGCTCTTGGTTTATAATAAAAAAAGGCGGAAGGGAGATATTTGACAACCTTATATTTATATCTTTTAAAACACGTTAAAAATGTAACTTTAAAACAACAATCTGATGGGAAAGTAAAGATGTTAAAACAGTTAACATGAGGGGCGGGTACGCTAGAAAAAAATATTGCATACGGGCGCTGAGGACTCCAGGACCGGCCCTGATAATAACTATTACACTCTGGAAAGGTGTAATGAATGAATTAAATTAAATTAAGTGATTAATTAAAATTAATAATAAAAATTTATAAATAGATATCGCAATTTTCGAACGTTTACCTCACCATCGCGCCCTGTGCAGTTTTCTTGTGTCGCTGTAGACTCTTCTGGTGAATTGGTTTGTGCTGGAGGCCAAGATATTTTTGAACTTTATCTGTGGAGTATGAAAATGGGCAGATTATTGGAAGTGCTTAGTGGTCATGAAGGACCTGTTGTAAGTAATAATTTGAAGTTTAATAAATAAATGCTATTATGTAATAGACAAAAAGGTGACACATCTTAATTGTTGTCCAAGACACAACAATTTTACCATAATATTTTAGTATTAAATTATCCATTGACATTTTCCAGGTTAGTATAAGTTTTTCTCCAAGTCCTGGTTCATCATGTCTTGTATCATGTTCATGGGATGGAACGATTCGTGTATGGAACGCACTGGAAAGCAGTGCTCAAAATGAACCGATTATACTTGGCTCTGATGCGTTGTGTGTCACTTTTAGGCCTGATGGAGAAGAAGTAAGTATATACAGGAAAAGCGCTCCTTATTTGTTAATCTAAAAAATGCGACTCAATTTCGATATTAATTGTAAAACTGAGAAGTTCTCATTGGAGTTCTTCTTAGGCATTACTCATATATATTGTCATTTTAGCTCATAGGAATCTTTATGTATTTCTGATTGCTAAATAAAACTGAGTCAAAAAAAAAAAAAAAAAATTCGATATTCAGCTAAAAATTTATTTCTTAACTGATCTAATAATAAGTACAGTATAAAATTCAATTTTTACATGTAGTGACTTTTATTTATAGATTGCAGTTGCAACATTGGATGGTCAGATAACTATGTTTCATGTAAAAAGTGGTTCACAAACTCATAGTATAGAAGGAAGGAATGATTTAGGCTCTGGCCGAACAGAAACTGACCTAGTTACAGCTAAGCAGAGTTTGAAGGGAAAGTAAGTTAAAATTGTGATACCAAATTATTTTACAATGTGGTTATAAATATATATGAGTAATTCAAATGTTCTTTTTTATTGTTTTTAGAGCTTTTACCTCCTTGTGTTATTCCGCCGACGGAGAGTGCATATTGGCAGGAGGCCAATCTAAAAATGTTTGTATATATAATGTGCAGGAAGGAATTTTATTAAAGAAATTCCAAATAACACAAAATAGATCTTTTGATGCGGTGGATGTGAGTCTTGTTTTATACATTTTTGAAATTTGTTAAAAATTAATTTGTACAATTCTAACACTTGTAGGATTTTATTAATCGACGAAAAATGACAGAATTTGGTAATATTGCATTAATTGAAGAAAGAGAAATATCAGAAGGTGGAAATGTAGCTATAAAACTGCCTGGTGTGAAAAGTGGTGATATGGCCTCAAGATCAGTGAAACCTGAGGTAGGATTAAAATTGAATTATTATCTATAATTTTATATAAAGTATACTTTAAAATTCATTTCTGTATATGAACAATGTTGATGTTTATATAAGTATTTTATTATTTTGTAGGTGCGAGTTTTATGCTTACAATTTTCACCTGCTGGTCATTCCTGGGCTGCTTGTACGACTGAAGGGTTGTTGCTTTATTCTCTAGATAATGCTTTTGTTTTTGATCCATTTTTATTGGATCTTGGAACAACCCCTGATGCAGCAAGAAATTGTCTTAAGGAACAACAATATTCCATGGCATTAATTATGGCATTGAGACTTAATGAACTTGCACTTATACATGAGATAATTGAACAAATACCTTATGCTGACAGTACGTTACAATTATAAATTATTGTGTATTATTGTTAAAATTATGGGTAGAACCATTACGTTAAAAATAGTTAATGCTTTCCGTTATAGTTTATGCTTGGGCTTCAAAATATTTTAAAAGTCTTTTTTTTCTTCTATTTATCTTTAAATAGAATATAGCATATAAGTAATATTTTTTGTTGCGTTTCAATTTAATATTTTTATATTATCTTTTTATTTTATATTTGCAGTTGAAATCACTGCCAACTCGCTTCCTCAAGAATATGCCAAGCGTGCTTTGAAATTCATTTCCAAAACGCTTGAGGGAACAACACATATTCAATTTTACCTGCGATGGACAACGGCCTTTCTTGAAATGTTAGGACCTCGTGACCGTGGAACTATTTTGCCTGAGACATTAGTTGCTTTAGAAAAAAGTTTGCTGAGAAAATATGATGCACTTAGTAAAATGTGAATATACATTTTTGTTTATTATGTTAATAACTTACCTCAAGTTCTGAAGAAATATTATTAATTTCAGTTGTGATTTTAATAAATACACTCTTCAATGGGTCAAGAAAATGGGTGAATTGGAAGAAGCTAAACAAACCCAAGTGATCAATGATGATGATTCAAATGAAGATGAGATGGATTATTCCGATCATGATGATAGTGAAACAGAAATTACTGATCTTTTATCTGTAAAATTATAAATTATATTAATAAACAAAATTAATAAATAATGATTTTCTTATTTTAATATAAATAATTATAACCTTAAATGTTGATTAATTTAAGTTCAAGATTACCGGATTTAGGATTACTACAATTTGATAACTGAATAAAATGAGTGAGCAAAACTTAAATGATAAAATTTTATGAAGATGTATGATATAAATTATGCAAACGTGCAACAAAAATAACGCTAGATAATTTTATTATATTATTTTTATTTAGATTAATTGTGGAAAGCTTCATCTTATTAAAATATATGACTGAATACATATTCTGAATGATATATAACTTATTTTTGTAATACTACTTTATTGTGCATTTGAAAATAGCAGCACAATTTTTAATAATTTTCATCAATTATTTAACTATTTCTATATATTTTATACATTGAAACTATGTTTGATGTTAAATATTTATGAAAATAGATTGGAATGACATTATGTATTTGATCTTTATTTTAACAGTGAAACATGTCAATAGTAATGAGTGTTTTAATATGTAATTATAGAAGTAATTGAAAATATTCTATATAATATATTATTTACAATGCGCGAAAAAGAAAAAAAAAATATTTAAAAAATTATACTATTTTAAAACTTTACATTAAATAAATTTGTTGTTTTACATTCAAAAATTGGATGCTATATAATAAATCAATCTATTTGCACAATATTGTCATATTTCTTGTAAGACACGGTATACATGATATTGTCAATAACGGCTGTACTAACATAAAATAAGAATGCAATTATGAAAATTGCATAATTGGTAGTGGTTTTATTTGTAATTATATATATATATATATATATATATATATATATATATATATATCAAACAAAATCCTGGTTCATTCGTATAGTTCTATAAAAGTAACCCCCACAGGAAATTACAGGCTGTATATATCTTTACGTTTAAGCGATCTTAGCTGAGAAAAAAATTGACAATAATATACTAATATCTTATTTACATCATATCTTATCATGTTCGCAAGAAACTCAAAGTATCACTTGCTCAATTATATTTGTTCATCTTATTTATCTACATCAAAAAGAAATAAATATATTTGGTTGTACAAGATCACAGATATACTAAAGTCAGCATTAGATATTAAATAAAATAACTACTTATTAACCCAAGCTGTTGATTAAAAGTTTCTACCTATTAATATGAGATTTTCATACTAATACTTATTAATTATTAGGCATTATAATATGTACATCATATTTTACCTATCAATAATATATAGGCACTAAAAAGGCTTAGTAGATAGAATTATTTTATACACAGATCATTCTATTCAATATGTAAAAATATAGTCTTCGAGCCAAGGTTGCAAATATTATCAATAATATTATTTAATTTGCAGTATAATCGAAAAAATGCCACGATAAAAATATCAAGCAAAAAGCGAATTCCAAAGCATTGTTCAAAAATCAACATCGAAAATCGTGCGACCCCATGTCTTTTACATAGGTTTTGGCGAATCAACGAATTTAAAAATGAATTATTTAGTTAAAAGTGTGTATTCATTAATAATTAAGTATTAACTAATTTTATATAAATTTCAAATTTGCTAAATGTTATTCTAATAATTTGTTAAGTTATGCCCATAAAGGATTCAATGTACATGCAACTTTCTAAATCATTTATTATCGATATTTCCATCATCTTAAAATATTGAAGTTTTTTCAAATGCATATTATTATTATTAATATTATTATACAATTGTTATTTACAAAGAACAACAAAAAATATGTAAAATCCAGGCACAGAAATTTACTATATAAATAATTACAGCTATTTAATCTGTTAAATTACATTAAAGGCAGTTTGTACACGCGAATCTTGAAGACCTTATTGATACAACCTTTTTTTTATCCTTTGGTTAATTCAGCTTTCGGGAAATTTATTTTACTATTTCTAAAACATTTAATAAATCAAGTATACCTATTATGATATTTTAAAACTTGTTTTACTACCATGGTTCTGGGAAGCTATTCTTAGAAAGACGCAATGAAATAAAAATATGTATTAAAATGTGTAATGTTCAGCATATTCTGATATTATATGTTGCCGATATTGGCGAAGTATAGAAAAATAATTGTGGTTCTACTTTTGAAAAAAACTTTCTTTAAGAATCGACACATTTTCTGTACATTCAATGTATATTGCAATGGTTGTTGTAAGTAACGAATAAACTTGTCCTGTTTGTATTTGCATAAAACAGTCAGATCGCCACAAATTTCTCCAAAATAGAAACTTCTTCTATCTTCAGAATATTTTCTATGAGCACATATAATTTTAGAACCAAGTTGATCAGTATAATATGTATTTAAAAAAAACTATTTGTTGAACTAGCATGAAAACTTATGATTAATTATCAAATTAATTTTAGCTCACAACCTAGAAATTAACTTTGCGTGCAAAATATACATGATTAAAAATTGATAAATCTTTATAGAGAATCATTGTATGAATGTCAATATGTATGTAAGCTTCATTACTAAAATATAAATTTATGTTAATAATATTTTAGTGACTTTTAGTTTGATGTGATAACAAGAATTTTTCTAACGCCTTCGCTAAGAGCGACATATATATACCGCCATTTTAACTCATTGCGATACCGTTCCATCCCCATAGCATACTCGTATTGAACCCGTTGGGTTGACCATGGGTCAAACTACGGTTCTGACGTAAGTGTCGCTATGGGTTCACATATGTTCATATATGGTACCAGTGGGTTGACCATAGGTTAAATCTACAGCCCATTGTGACGACCATAGGTCGACCCTATGTCAACCATGTGCTGTGTGGGTTGACAACCGGGTGTACGAGTATCACCTATAGACCACACTCGACATGCAGGTATCGACCATTGATAATGATTGAAAAATCATTGTGTAAAAACTACCTGGGCGGCTGCCTGGCCCGTACAGCAGTGTCACTCCTGAGGACAATACTCTAATAACAAAAAGGTCAATGCATATATGTAATAATTCTTTAGAAGAAATGCTCAATGTAAACCCATTTTATTTACGCACATTAACTTTTGCCCAGAAACAAAAATGTCTCTAACTTCCAACAATTATTCTCAAAAATAATTATTATTTCTATTACCCAACCTTGCTACCTACATACTGAATCATTAACCACGTCTTCAACAAGATGATCCGCAGTGACGTCCGGCATTTCAAAGTCGTCCTCATAGGACGGAACGCCACTGGGACCCCTGTCTCACGATGCTGCCGTTTTCAGCAAAAGCACAGGCCAATAGACGATCACGAATAGTAAGAATAATGCGGGGAAAACTATGCGGGACATTTTGTCTATCTCTCGCCACATCACTTTCTCCAGTCCGGTATCGGTGTCCGTCCAAGCCACGCTCAGCATACTCTGACGCCTTGTGGGACCCCTAAAATAATAGATACATAATAATTAACTTTCGGAAAGAGAAGTAACTTGCCTTAAGGCCACTAATAACTAATTATCTTATTAAAAGTAATATTTGGATCTATATGAGATTGGGTACCTGTGAGGCACCGGAGGTCCTTGGGTAGCATTTGAATTAGTGGAACAGTTGTTTTTCGTGGAAGCAGCGCTGCTTTGCAAAGGAAGTGGTGTAACTGCTGTCCCAGGCGGAGTTTTCCGGCTTCGCACACCAGCATTTGGACCTTCCCAAGTTGCTACTGTGTTGCACTGACCTTTCTCCATCGCATTTATTCGCTGCATAAGATGATTCCATATAATTTAATGACAATAATATAATAATAAGAATAAAACTTAATTATCTCCAATGCTATGCAGAATAATGTAAATGGAATTATCTCAATACATTAAATATAAAGCAGTAAACAGATATCAAATTGATATTTTTTCTATTTACTATGGTATCACTTGGGGCACAACTAGTGTGAAATTTTCAAAAAATCGAATTTTCAATTTTTCCCTATTTCGATAAGTTATACCTTTAAAAATAACATACCAAAATTTTAAATCTATATCTTAAATAGTTTTTGAGTCATAGCCATTTAAAGAGTATATATATAGTATATAGTATAACGATCATTTAATCTTTAAACGCGTTTTTCTCGAAACAGCATTTTCCGAATTAGCTGCAACGATTACTCAAAAACAAATGATCCCATCGCTATCAATTTTATTTAAATGTTCTATATATAGTTCTCCGTAAAATGAACTATCGATTTTTTGATCGGATCAAAAATCGAATTTTGGCAGTCCAAAAACGACCAAAATTTTGGGTAAAATTTTACTTTTAAAAAAACAACGCCGTCATTTTGTCAATTTTTGATTTTTTTTCGTAGTTCATTTTACAGACAATATTATCTAGTTTAACGAGAATTTTTTTTTTAAAATTTCATCCACGTAGAAGGCCGGAATCACTGCAGCAGTTAATGGCCCTTTTTGTCGCGCCGTTGGAGATCGACGATGATTTAAAAAATATCTAATTTTTTTCTTTAAAAATTTTACTATGTATTCTCAAAACATGTATAAATATATTTCTGAAGTTTTGAAATGATTGATAAAGTAGTTTTTTTGATATAAATTCCCAAAAATCACCTTTTTTTCGGCGGTTACACTAGTTGTGCCCCTTAATGCCTGATTAATAAATGCAGCTTAACTTGCACAGAATTGTTTTAATATATTAGCAAAAATGTTGACTCCTTTTATATTTTTTGCTTATTTTTAAACTGCAATTAAAACTAAGAGCACTTAGAAAATTTGTGATTCTCATGGTTTTGTAATAGTTGGTCTATCTTTGACATAGTTTTGGCCAACCCTGTAATTGTCCTTTTTTAATATTAATAATATATTTTAAATTATAATAGCAATGTCGGAAAGAACTCAATTTATATGGTAACATACTTTGAAAATTTGAAAAACTTGGTGTCACTATGGTGACACACTTGAAAATTTCAAGTTAAAATGAATACCACTTACAGATAAAAAAGATTATACCTTGAGTTGCTTGAATTAAAATATACAGGTTGATATACATATATTATTATAATTGGAATTAAATAAAGAATACAATAAGTCAGTTGAATGGATAAATCATCAAATCATTTATAAAAGTTAATCGTAAGTTGATGAATTAAATAAGGTAGTTAGAACAGTTCTTGCTAAATAATTTAATTAATTCAAAATTAAAATTTATGATCCATAAATTTGTTTTTACTCGTATTGATGTTACGTCCAATTATTAGACTCTCCATGCACATGGCTTAATAGTATTTTGAGTCTTTTATCCTGTTCTTCATTGCACTTAATGAGTTATCAAAAGCCTTTCTAATATTTCTCACTTTTTTCAGATATAACAGATTTGTTCCGGTTTTCTTGTTTATTTAAATAAATGAGATTTTAATTCAGATTTATAAAAAGCAAATATCAAGAAATTTTGAAACTGAATGCAGTCAAACACTGAATGTATCAGAATTGATCATGTTTTTCACAAATCGATTTGGGCTATATAATGATATATGCTGAAATTATAACAATATCATATACGAAAAATTATAACAATTATTCAGAATATGCCATTATGTTATACCTCAATCGTAAATAAAGATTTTTCTATTATCAGGTAAATAAAAGTCTACTTTCTTGTCATACCAGACATGACGAGCACTTACAAGTTGATATATTAAGTTATTATTACTGTTTGTAACATAAATGATGCCAATAATTCCCGGCTACCGCGAGAGCAATTGGCCCCCGGCGAGAGATGCAATCAGCGACTCACCATATTGGGAAGTACTTTGCTGATCGCGCCGCGGTTTACTTGGTACTGCACTTGGAGAACCTTCACCACAACGAATTCGCCCAAAGCGGCGAACACGAACACCATGCAACCGGCCATCCATAGGTCAAGTGCCTGTAATCAATTGTAATTTAGAAATAATCAATAGATGATGTAATTACAGGCGCAGTAAATCTTTTCTAAGTGCATCTAGTTAATTACAAAGTTGTGGATTAGCAAAACGAAAGCTATTGTTAATAATGTTCAGAAAAGCAGATTTAGAAAGATTTTGTTAGTCAAGAGTCAAGTCTGACTGACTGTCAATTGTCTGACTGAGATACAGTATGTATGAATTATACCAAATAAATAAATTAAAAAAAAAAAAAGTCATTTGTTTGATTGCTGTAGATAACCAATGTATTGGCAAAATGCATACATACACACAAACATACACAAACACACGCACACACACACACACATATATATATATATATATATATATATATATGTATTTATAAATATTTGTATTACTAATATTTTTTATTTATGTAATTTCTGATGCGACGAATGATTAAATGGATTCATTCATTGAAATATTTTTATGAATATTTTATTAATGTTAATATATATTTAATTAGTATATACTATATACTATAGTATATACTATATAATAATATATATTTAATTAATATGTATATTTATATCTATGTATTTTTATATTTAAATATATATTATATATATATATATATATATATATATATATATATATATATTATATATATTAGGGTGGTTCGAATTTCTTTGCTCCCATATATATTAGGACATTTTCGAATTTCTTTGCTCCCAAGGGCGCAAATTCTTCCAAATGAATAAAACAATGAATCTCTATTAGTATTAGCTCTTAATATTTGAGTTTCAGCATCAGCAATTAAATAAATATTTTGCAGCAAAATTAATCTTGATTCCATGATGAATAGAATTTAAGTGGTTTATGAATATTCTTATGTGTCATAATATTTGAGTTCACGAAATATTAAATAATAATAATTGTTATTTCTGATGGATCGAATCGTTAAATTTATTTGTTCAATAAAATCAATTATCAAATCTGGATATTTTTGAAAATATTTTAATTAATTTATTATATTATATTAATTATTATATTAATATAATTAATTATTAACAATTAATTATAATATATATTATGTATTGTTTATTTGATATTATTCATTAGGTTAGGTAAATATGTTCATTCAAGAATATTTTGATTAATTCATGAAATAAATTAATTGTTATTTTAATTTTAATAAATTCGCAAAATTATTCATTTGCGCCGGAAATATTAACAATCATTTATTTTTTGTCATTTTGTTGAAAGACTGTGATACCATAAATAGGGTTAAATGTATTAAATTATTAACAAAGACAAAAATCAGTTGAATTATGATTAAAGGTTATCGAACCCTGATATTAAAAATGTTTGTCTATATTAACAGAAAGTGAAAAGAGTTATTTATATGATTCCGAAAATCATTATTCGAAACTCATTAAGCATTTCACACACATTCGATAATGTGTGCAATTAAATAGTAATTAAGACCAACTATTATTGATGATGTTAGGTAAATCGACATATTTATTTGGTGTTTGACATATATTAATCACATGATTCATTAGCTTTTTACAAAGAATAGTAAATAGAATAGAATCTACGATCACTGCATGTTATGTATTTTGCATATTATAGCAGTATTAAGAGAAACACAGCCGCGAAGCTGGATAAAATTATTTGGTTTCAAAGTTCAAATATCATTTATTAGTTTACTAGTTAGCTTTAAATAGTTATGCATTTATTTAAATGGCATAACTAGCCATTAATAAAGAATATCAGTACCATATTAATATACTACAAATAACTGTTCACACAATGTATAAAATTAAGAATATAAAATCATTCCCCCTTTTTTTTAAATAAACTGATAATTACTTCTATTGTGTACAATCATTCCAACATTCAAAAAATAAAGTGAAATTCAAAACATATATATTTCTAATTTTACTCACTTTAACATATGCAACTGGAGGTATATCGGCTCTCAACCCTGTAAACATAGTAACCAATGTCAACATGCAGGTTACTAGTAAAGTGACACGTCCAGGAATAGCGTCCAGACCCAACCAGAAGCTGAACCAACTTAACATTACCACAAGAGATGATGGTGCAAATGTCTGAATTAAATGATGGCCTATTTGTCGTTCGAAACGAAAGTATACAGCTAGACGAGAGAAATTTCCTAGAATGAAAATTAATTTAGGTCTTTTTTTGATGAAGTTTTTTGATGAAGAGGTTTATTTTTTATTTATTTTTTTAAATAGTTCACTCGCTTAATAATTATATAGTAATTGCTTAGTTAATTATGAGCACGTGTATCAATTGCTCAATATCGATCCGAAGATTTCTGATCAAAACTTTATGAAAAATAAGTGTAATTTTCATAATTTAATATTTTAATAACTTTCATTACTCATTGTAAAATATAATAATAAAATAGTTATTTTACTTACCATGTTTTTCACTCATGTAAGCATTAGACTCTTCCAACTGCAAAGGTCTGCCAATATTGTACTGTAAAAGTTTTAGTTCTGGATTTACTGTAACACCAGACCTACTCCAACGCAAACGCACTTTCTGATTTGGATAAGAAACTGAAAAAGGAATCATACGAATTTAATAATAATGAAATAAATAAAAGAGGCTAATTACGAAATTAGAGGAAGTCCTTTCTCTATTATGATCTATAAAGGCGGTTTTTTTCAATTCATGTAACGAGACTTTCACATTTGAAAATGCGCCAATATAATAGTGATAAAGAGTAACAAAAGCATAAGGAAGCAAAATCTAATCTCAATCAAAAGGTAGTATAACTTAAAGCTGTAAATATTAATGGTTCGAAGAGTAATAGATAATAAAACAAAAATAAAATTCGTTATTATATAATTAATAAAATTATCATTGGTATTTTATCAATCGCTTGTTACTTCTTTTTTTTTTAATAATAATCAGCATATAAAGAAAATTATTTTATAAGATTTAAGACACATTTTAATAGTTTTAAAATTCTCTCTTAATATGGACATTCTCGAACTTCGTTGCTCCCAAGGGCTCAAATGGTTTCAAATTGATAAAAAATAATTCTCTAAAAGTTTTAGCTATTAATATTAACTTTCAGATAGTGCGCAATTCAATCAAACTTCGTATGGCATGTAAAAATAGCATGGAAAAAATGTTGAAAATTTAAAAAAAAAAATTAGGTATAACTTAGCGACAAATGAATTAAAAGTGAAAATTCGTGTCATTTTTTACTGAAAATTCGGCGCTCTGCAAAATTTTTGAAATTTTTTTCATACTATTTCTATACAAAACTTTGATTGAATTGCGCTCTATCTAAAAGACAATATTAAGAGCTAAAACTTTCAGAGAATTGTTTTTTATAAATTTGGAACCATTTGAGTCCTTGGGAGCAAGGAAGTTCGAAAATGTCCATCGTAAGGACCACCCTAATGTATATATTGAACGGTGAATTCCAATTATGAATTAGACATAACTTGAGATGAGAAATCCAATTCAAAGATTACCAATTTTTATATGCAAATCAAAAATTTAATTAATATCAAAAATATAAGTTTTAAGTAGTTGAATCTAAAAAATAAGTTTTAAACAGATATGGATTTTAATTTTATACACGAATGTCCTCTGTTTCTGCTTTTTAACATTGAAACTGATTTTATTTTGTCTCTTATTATGAGAAAGTGATATGTAAAAATTAAATATAAAGATACTTAATTCAAACTTTAAAATAATCATTTTGCCAAAAAATGTATTGATAATTTTGTGATAAAAATTATAAAACAAGGGAATGTAAGCAGAAAGTGGACATGCGAATACAAAATGCTGTTTTATTTTATTGCGAATTATGATTTTTTCTGAGTAAAATTAACTTTAAATAGTTTTATTTAATTTTGTTAATGAAATATTTTAATTAATTTCGAATATTTAATGAAATCATTAAAGGAGTGATTGTATTACAGAAAACTATGTAATTATAAGCGAATAATATGTAAAATATGATAGCCCTGATCTAACTCCAATATAACCATTTTATAATTTTAAATTTATTGATATTTAATTAAATGTTATGTGCTTATTGAATATAATTTATATAGTTATATTGGTATTTATGTGGTTGCTCCATTGTGTAATGGAGCGTGTGAACGGGGTCGTGAGTTCCAATTCTAATCTGGACAATATGACATCGTGCAGTATCAATGTCCATTATTACTTGAAAAAAAATAGGTAAAAAATATCAAAATTATCAAAAATATATTTGCAATTGAAATAGCCCATTTCGGTCACTGCGGTATGAAATGGCAATGAGAAACCTCCCACACTATTCATTCCTTAATCTAGCTGGACTTTAACTCAGCTCATGAACCTGCCCTAGGGCAGTACTATCCATTTATTGGTATTTATAAGCTAATTAGAATTCTAATATAAAACGTTTTTTGTTTTTGGTAAATTTTGATAAACTTTGGAAAATTTACTATATTACTTTAGCATTTGCCAGTGCAAGGGTGCAATCAGTGTCCAATCATAAATTATAGTTGACAAATTAATCGCAACTACAATAGGCAATACTTTAAAGGCATCGCGTGCGTTTTCTTCGGATTAGAAACTAGTATATCTAAATGCATTAAATTTGCATAAAAAGCCAAAGCTATCTAATTGGTAATTAAGGATCTACTTTAGTAGACATTAAATTCAGCATAATAAATTTAGTCGGTGTGACTTACAGCTTTCTATATATATGGGGCAATCTTGAATATCCATGGGGTATAGCTGGAACTCCATCTGGCACGCTATTATAGCATGCATGCGAGCTGCATATCGCACGGTTTTGTTCCGGTAAAGAGTCACTGAAGAGAATTTATGCTCCAGAGCGGCAATTTCTAAAATGAAAAACAAGAAAAGCGATTAAACTCATTTATGCTTCGATAATAAAAATTATAGTTAGTCAGATAACGATTGGTTAATAAGTAATAACTTAGAGATATAAACTTATGAAAAACTTCAATGACGAGATAGAGATTGGAGAAAGTACTGTGAAATTAATATATTATATATCCTTGATAAAACAGCTATTTCATTGTGATAGTGTCATTATACATATTATTTTATTATCGTTTTCTTGAAATAATTATGACTTTATAAAATGTTCAATTCATTTTGTAGTAGCAGTATTTGTATGGCATTTGTAGGCATTTTCATTATCTTTTTTAGTTTTCACTAAAACTAGCAAACAAACAGATAATTGATCAAAAATGATCTATTATTATTATTATAGAGTCATAGAGCAAAAAGAATTAATAGAAATGCATCTTCAGAAAATAAAAGTTTTACTCTAAAAATATAAAAAACATGAAAACTTATAGTTCTTAAGCGACATGACTTGTCCCATTGGACTATATTTTAACCGTGATACACAGTGAAAATCTTTTTCTAAAACAAACATAAGAGATATTTGAATATTAAAATGTTTTTTGTTTAGAAAAATCTATCGAAATGTTGAAAAATTAAGATTCTGTATATTAAAAAAAATCAAATAGGGATTACAGATTGCATATATATATTATGTTTTATTCCAGAAAACTCACATAGGGGTCTTAGGATTTTTGCATATACAATTTGGTAATCATGCGACTACAACTACATAATTTTATTATTTAACTTTTAGTTTAATATTTTATTTTATCTAATGTTTTGAATTTTCAATTAAATAATGTTTTTAAATAATATTTTTTAAATTTGGTATATCTTCTAGTAATTTTGCATTTTTATAAACTTGTAAAATATTTTTTAGTTATTTATCGCATTTCATTTCAATTATTTGGTTGCAAATAAAGATTTCAAGAATATGTTTCAATGTCGAATAAAAAAAGTGAAATTTTTCATATATATAATTATAGATTAAAAATATCTAATAGGCAACTATCCTGTAATTAATAAAAAAAATAATAATATAACTGCAACTAAAGTAAAACTATCATATAAGAATATTTTGTTTTGAATGACCAGTGTTGAAACATATGAACTCATAACATTCAATATTCAATCAATAATTAGAAACTTTAATTGACAAGAATTAGTTCAACTGTGCATTTCGAGTAAGAAAAAAATTAATTGGTTTAAATTTAGTTCAAATTACCACTGAAGATGACATAATATGTGTTTTATTTTGGCGCATTGGCTGATAAGTAAATTATATACAGATACAGGGCATTATATATATTCGTATTTTACATTGAATAAATAATGTAGCTATTGTTTAGTGAAATCTCTATAAAAAGAAAAAATACGTTGGATCTGTTTGCCTCCTGACAGTATCTTTTCTCACTCTGCGCATTGGGCAAAAAGGGTCGGATGACAAGCTATTAGAAAAAAAATGTGAAAAAAAAGTATTTTCATAATTCGGAAGACTGGACTCTCATTCGAACCCCTCTATAGTAGAAATTACTAAACCTTATGGTACAAGAAGATTAAAACGACAATGGCCTTTAGACTTGGTCTTAGATTAGGTCTAATATAATATTATTATATTAATTGTTAAACTGAGATGATCTCATTGGAGCTCTTCTTAGGCATCGCTCTTACATTGTCATTTTAGCTCATAGGAATGTTTATGTATTTCTGATTGCTAAATAAAACGAGTTAAAAAAAAAAAAAAAAAAAAAAGAAAAAGAAAAAAAAATCGGAAGAGTTAACTGAGAATTTTACTGAACATAGTTGAATAGTTGGTAGTTTGATACGTGATGTGTTCTATTTGAAAGTCCAATTGGACCTTAGTGCCCTCCCGCCTTACCATATATATATATATTTATATATATATATATACAAAATTATATATATATATATATTTACAATATATATATATATATATATATTATACATATATAAGTTATTGTTTAATGAATAGCAGAATAATGAAAAAACAGATTTTTACAAGATTTGCAAATTACTTTTATACATACTTCAATTATAGAATCGTAATATCATCAATACTGACAAGTGAATGTTATGTTAATAAATTATCCCGATCGAGAAACTTATATTAATCTCCGATAGTATTAAATCCCAGTAACTCACCTGCCACTTTGGAATTGAGGAAGTAAGGATCCGGATGCCATAAGTTATCAAAGAATTCCGGAGGAAGTGTTACATAATCATCTCCTTCTTCAAATATATCATCCGGAATGGAAAGGCGAGATTCAAGCCAATTTTGCCTCACAAACATATCCACGCTGCAATGAAAAGCGAAAATTAATTATCATCAGCCAAAGCTATTAAAGACCTGTTAATAGTGTAAATTTAATTTGCAAAATGATTTAGAGCTGAAATTAGTAATTTATAATATTAATTATAAAATGTAATAGCTAATTCACTACTGGAATGCTGACTGAGTTTATGAGTTTAATGATTAATAAGAGTCATTTGTCTCGTAACCCGTGTTAGCAATATGAATAAGAAGTCGATGTGAGAAAGAGAACTACTGGATATTTGATTTTACATAGAGATATAATAGGTAAAAAACTCACTATTACACCGATACTTACGTTTATAACAGGGGCTAACCAAAAATTAAAAAAAACTGTTGAGTCTGAATAATAAACTAGTGGGGCGCATGGCATCGTGCCTTAAGGCAAATTGCTGGAACTTCCCGTACCAAAAGATATTTTTTTTAAAAAGATTAACATTTTTGAAAAAAATTTACTCTGAAAAAATTAGATTTTTGAGAAACTATAAATTTTTGACAAAAATTTACTTTTTTTTGAACAAAAAAAAACCTTTTTGAAGAAAAATTGATTTTGAAATATTTTGGAAATTCAGAACATTTTTTCAAAGCAATCGTACTGCTTTAACTGCATAGAGAAGAAATGTCGAAGCGCGTAAGCGCCGCGTCGCCGTCTAACGGATAAACATTGATAAAAATTTATACTTATTGTTAAAATCTCTATAAAATATCTAATAATTTGATATGCATATGTCTAATGATCATTTTTGACCGTCAAATGGCATTCTTTTTTACTTTTTTTACTAGATCTCCGAAACCGCTAGACCTGCCTTCATGAAAATTTGATCAGTTCTTGTTGTAAAATGTTTTTTGAATTATTCAAATCGGACGCTCCATTATCTTAAAAATTGAGTTACCGTTTTTGGCACTTTTTGTCCCATATCTTCGGAACGGCTAGACCTGCCTTTGCCAAAAACTAATCAGCACGTCTCCTTATCAATACAAATCGAATGTTTTTTGAATTATTCAAATCGCTTCATCCGTGTTCCCGAAATCGTCGACAAAAATTTGTATCCGTACACACACACACATACATCCATTTTATCTAAGGTGTGCCAAAATGTTCAGAAGGTTTCAAAACGTAATAATATATAAAAAAAATTATTTTCGATTTTTTTTGCTATTACTACAACTTGCCTTACGGGAGGTTAATAAAAGTAAAAAAATTGACTTCTAAGTCAAACTTATTTTTGTATTTTATGACTAGCAAATATTTTCATATTAGTGAAAAAAACCTATTTTTATATTTTATGACGAGCAATCATAAAAGTATACGCTTCAGCATAAAAAGCATCAAGCAACAAGCATCAAGCATTCGTTTATATATAGCGCTAAATAAATATTAATTAAATCTAAGGTCTAAAACAAATCAAAACTCGTAGTTGTCGGTAAAATATCGATATGCCATAAACAAACTGACGCCAGACATTTTTGAGTATCACATATTTGCGATGTATAAACTGTACAAATAAATTATTTACACTTCGTCCAGCGGAAGCGCTATTGCGAATTAGTATTTCATATATGCATATGTTAATGTTAAAATTGCGAATACAAATACAGGCCACGGTTGTTTAGAAATACTCTGCATGCGTTCTGAATGTATTAATCTAAAATTCATATGCATCATTACATTGATGGTCGATCTAGTTGCTTGGGCCAAGGTTAGCGAAAGCAAAATAGGGTAAACATAAAAAGGGTTGAGCATAATTTAAAACTAGTTGAAAGTTGAATTTTTCCTTAAAGCAATTTGAATAAAAGTCGTGCAAAACTGACAAACGCTAGTCTGTAATATCGAGTTACATCTAATGGGTTTTAAAATTTTGAAATCGGTTCATCCGTTTTTGAGAAAACGTCGACTGAACGTCATAAATCGGCTCGCATACATGCACATACTTTTTCCAAATTTGGTATAATTCGATTCAGAATAGCTTGAAACATCGACAAAACATAAAACTAGCCAATCGGATTTTTTGGTAAAAACATGAACTTCTCCTTTGGGAAGTAAATAAATAAGAGAAAGAAGGAGCTCAAGTTGAGCCTAATGGAATAAAAAATTTTTTTTAATTTTTTTTTTATTTGATCATCTATCTACAAGAAATATAAAATCAATTGCATGACATAGAATTGAACAAAGAAAAAAAAGCTAAGATTTACATTCATTGATGCAGTTCTTTACAGTATGATATATGGATTGTCAAAAAGAAGAAAAACAAAAAAAAAAAAAAATTAGTACTCATTATTAAACCTAAAACAAGTCGTGGGGGCAATTTTTTTTCAGTCATCTGAATTGGATTGGTTCTAGCAGCTTTCTTGCAAGGCTATTTGGGTGAAAGGTGAGCCTGTTACGGTACTTTAGTCAAAGTCTGGGAATCTCTTCTTTAATAAAAGAGACACCCAGTTGAATAAAAAAAATATATTCCTTGATCTTTCTTTTAAGGTAGGATACAAATTAAGAGAATTCAAAAATATTGAATTAACGTTTTTATTATGTTACGAGATAATTGTGAAAACAAACAATGTTCTTTGTGTTCGCAAAATAAGACAGAAATAGGAGAATAACGTTTCAAACAACATTCAGTGCTTTGGCATAAGTAGAATTATAATATGAAAAGACTATTTATTATTTTGACCTTGTTAATTTCATGTTACGAATATTTATTTATAAACATACTTTATTATTGTCAGTATTATAAGTCGTTATGCAAAAAAGTCTCAACTAAAGTGCAACTAATATGCTTTGAATATAAGAATAAATAATTAGGAACAAAAATATACAGTTTTGAAAAAAACGGTTAACATTCATTTCATTTTGTCTGAATGTAGAAAAATCGTCAAAAAGACGTAGAAAACTGAGAATGCAATACCCTTTGAACAAGTAAGATTTTGAGAAAAAGAATATGATTTTAGAGTGCTAAATAGCGATTACTTAGTTAGCTTAAAGAATATCTAATATTAAATATTAAATAATTACAAAGTTGCAAATTTAATTACAAAATAATGAAACAATAAGTAGTCTTGTATAATAATGAAATAATAAGTAGTATTGTATTTGCGGCATTATGTTTCCCAATGTGGTTTTTACAGCTAAACACGAATCAAAATTGACGAAAGTCAAAATTGAGGAATTTATTTATCATTCCTTCTGATAATGAAAGTCCTATGATTTTTATCGTTTCCTGGGCTTTTTTATTTTAAATAACTTCTGATTTACTTAAGTGATCTATCAAGTTTTTTTTGTAGAATGCAGCAGTAATTTGCAAACATATTTTTAAATATTCAATTTCAAACCTGTTTGCAGATTACTCAGGAGCAATAGGGAGTAAGTATGTTTTACCTTGGCATAATATGAAATTATATTTCCCAAACCCTGGTGTTCAGATCTGATCCTTTCGAGCAAAAAATATTAGACATTGTATTTATGTAAAATGTACTATGAACTGAGCATTCGCATGTTCGCTTAGTAATGCAATCGTTTCAATTGTAAGTAATTGTTTAAGTGTGCCTTGTAATTATACTCAATGACTTCTAATTCATATAATAGTTCGAAAGGCGGTTTTTATTTGAATGTCACTTCTCTTTAATAATATAATAGTGACATAACAAATGAAATGAAATATTTGATATTTTGAAGAAATAAAAGCTTTGGGAAGTTTTGGATTGATGCAGTCGTAAAAAATAAGCTTTGTAGAAATCAGTTGTAACATCTGCTGATAAAATTAAATGATCAAATATTTTTGGTAAAATTAAATATTAAAATTCTTTAAATTCAAATTCAAGCACTATATATTACAAAGGTATCGATTCTATTAATGTAATTTGTCATCCGAAAATGGAATATATTAATGTATTCATGTATGCAGAATCACCCGACATTACGCAAAACCAACTAAATTTTTGAGTATACACGTAATTGTTTTTTTTTGTCCAGACAATGGAATAAATATTGATTTTTTTTAAATTACGAAATCACAAAACATTGCTAAATATTACGTTGGACTGCATATTTCGTCTAATATGGTAATTGTATTTGTAGAAAATATTATTTTACTTGCATGCTCATGGACTGATATAGACAGTATGTTATAAATATAGTAATAATTTTAATAGAAGGTAACAAATGTAGTAAAGAAATCTGTCATGTTTGCAAAATTGGACAGAAAAATGTATTGTTGACTGAATAACTTTTCGAAGTAGAAGTTTGTGTTCTCGCCGTTCCGAGTCTTTCTCAAAAACGTCGTTTTCTCAAAAACGACTGCACCGAATTCAAAATTTTAAATTTGTTTTACATTTGTTTATATTTAATTAAACTCAATAAGGACTCAAGTTGATTAGTTTAACGAGACGATCAGCCGATCCATTTCTCTACAATTACCACAAATCTGCACAATTTTTCATATATGTTCTCGCTAAAAATCTTGAACCGATTTTGAAAGTTCAAAAACTGTTCGAAATATATCAGTTGAGAATGATATGCAGATAAGTTTTTGGTTTAGATTCGTCGAGCCATCTCATAGTAATGAATTGCTAAATTTCTTTCTCATGATTTTTTATGAAATTGTTTAAAAAAATGGTTTGAAGTTTAAAAAGATGAAGGGCCGCGCTTTACGTTCCGGATTGGTCCCGGATTGGCCGGGACAGTCCTGGATTTTCACTTTGTTTTCCGGGTTATTTTAAAAGCATGATGTGTATCGGATTCGGATTTAAATATTTTGACCCGGATTTCTAGAAATTAGTAGATGAATTAACAAATATTATGAAAACAAACAAGTGCTAATTTTTTAAAAATATTTATGAATAAAATTAAATAGAATATTATACAAGGCACAAAAGCTCAAAAAACATATAGATCCATATAAGATATAAAATCATAGTTGAAAAAATAAAACATATAATCGAATAATAAAGTTCTTACTAAAAGCCCGTAATTATTATAAAAAAATTATATAA